GTGAATTATTCAAATAGCAACTTCTACTATCATCTTCCCTTACTAAGTCAACAACCCACAGGCTTTAGAAGCAATATTTTTCTATAAGTGTCTGAGAGAAAAAGGAAATGGTTTTTGTTGATCATTTTTGGCAGTATCATGCTAGAGTGGGACCCCGAAGTCCTTAACAAATAGAACAAAAGAAMCAGAACTGTGAGAACATAAAACTATAGTAAATAAGAATCCAGTGATAATAGAAGAGAGCTAATTCTCATAATGTGGCACATGCCACCAGCTAACCTTCTGCCCTCTTAAGGTATCATACCTAATGTAGGGACTTACTCCTCCATTGGAGAGATGAACAGATCAGCAGTACCATATTACAGTTTGTATTTCAAGATCTAAAATTATTGAAGATATACTGAATTACATCATTTGAAGGTTTACATGAAGCTGTAGTAGTTAATGATCCAACCCAAAATTTATTTACAAGCTGAATATTTTATGTCCCATTTTTTGTCAGTATATAAGAATTTTGTCAGAATCTAAGACTTCACAAAGGTCAGAAATGAACTGTGTAGTTAGACCTGGTTTTAGGCAGCTCTTTACCACACTGTTTTTATCTAGTTTCCATCCACTCTTGTCAGTACACAGATAGGACTATCTCCTGTGTGCTCCTCTTTCCTTCTGCATATGTTCTGTATGTTTGATCAACTGGAATTTACAGCAGCTGATACAACTTGTATGCAATGAGATGTTTCAGAGCAGCATAAAGTGCACRCCAGACACAAAACTCCAGAAAAGGATSAAGTTTTTGCAGCAGGCACTGCCCAATAGCTCTGCTCTTTGGATTCTTGCTTTCAGACTTCAGGAGATGGGATCTTGCCAGACTGGCAATGGCATTATAGAGCACACGGGATTCATTCACTGTCTTAGTTCACAAGGAATTTTTAATAATGCATTGAACAGTGTTGTTCTTCCATTAAGTCAATCAAAATCTAATAATTTTAAGTAGGGAAGAAGCAGCAAAGTTACTTGTAACTGTCAGTAAACTTTCAAAATSCCACACAGTTTTTGAACTGATGATTTAATACTTTGAAAATGGAACTTAGGGGTTTTTTTTCAAAAACAAGATAAATCTTTTCAAGAACAGAATCAAAAAATCCCTTYATTTTTCAGTTAACCAATGCTAGAGCATGAGTGCAAGGAGGAATTTCACCAATAAAGAAATAGTTTCATTATCTCCATGTGGCAAATAAATAAAAGCAATKATAGAAAATATATTTAAATWGTAAAAGACAATACCASTAAGAAGATTTGTCATTTATCTGTMTTTGGAAATCTGCCATGGAATGGCTGCATTCACCAAGGGTAAGTGACAAAAACAAGATTATTTTTAAAAAACCCTCTCATCTATTATTCTCAAAACCTACTCTTTTTATTTTCAGTTCCCTTCCTGAAGGCTTTTTTATGAAAACTATTTTTAAATCTGCTTTKTACCTGAAGGGGAAACTCAAGAGAGTGATGTGCATTTTAAAGAGAAAAGTGGTATGTCTTGTCCCTTAATTCTGACAACAATATACTATSTCTTTATTTCTAACCATAATGATTTTTTGATATGTCTTTTCCTTTGTCTCTGTCACTGGTCTTGGTGTACAGTGTGTTCTTAAAAGTGACAGATTTTCACTGTGAAAAAAATGAAAGTATTATATTGACAGTTAAAAGTCATGCAGCAAGTTGAAAAAGAAACAACAAAACAACACTCAGGGGGATAAAAGTGTAGAAGGAATTCTTCCCTTTATATGAATGAAGATGGCTAGAATCTCTCCTAATCCTCAAAAGGCTTTTTTTAGTGAAAGCAATTTTTGGAAAGTACTTAATGTGCTTTTATTTCCAAAATTTTCATATGAYCTTTCTCTCACCTTATACTACAGGAACTACTGATGGCATAGACAGCCATCATTGACATAACACGGACAATTCAGAATTCTCATCATTTCAGCATGTAAACATTTTCATTTACTACTCAGCATGTCAATATGAAGCCTTCTCTCTCCTTCACCTACTGGAGCAGCTTAGAACTATAAGACCACGGGGTAATTTTTCTTTTGATGCCTCTCTGCTCTTCCCACATGCTGACCAGCATCCATGAAACAGTTTGTTATTCCTGTGACTGGAGAAAATCAGGAAAGGAATTACAGTCTGAAAAAAGAATTCACTGTTTCATCAACTCTCAGAAGAGCAAAATGCAGACTGAGAAATTATAATTTATGTTTTTTAATAGATAACGATTACTTGTGTTCCTCATAACATCTTTTTAATTCTCAAAAAAAATTAATGTAACTTTTATGTACCCCTGATACTTTTTAGATACAAAATAAAAAAAAAGTTTTATTCCACTGTTATTTTTTTTTCCTATACCTTTTTTCTCTCACTGAGGTTACTTGATAATAGTTAAAGGAATCTGGGATGCTCAAAATCTGGGTGGCATGTGCCAATTCTCTTAGTTTCCATTGCTAAAAACAAACAGACAAAAAGTATCTAAATATAAAAAACAAAAGGTACAGATGAACAGAAAACATTTTTTAAGGAAACACATTGCATGGCAAAATCATAAATTCACACATCTACATCTCTGGTGATTCTGTTGTATCCYATTCCATACCTGAACTGCCTTACCAAAATGAGGATATGTAGTACTCAACTTCTTCAGCAATGCAGTGGATTTCTGACCTGTGCAAGGATCACTGTCCTTGCACCACAATTTTCTAATGGAAAAGGTAACATTTCCTTTTCCCTTTTGAAATTTCCTTTCCTTGCAACACAATCTTCTTTAAGGGCATCAGAAAAATTGGGCTGGTTATAAATCCATGGTTACAAATCCATGGCTTTCCCACTCCTGAAGACTTAAAGAGATTGTGTTTGATTGGAAAAYTTTATTTTGTTTCATTTGCTTGTGTCACACTTCTACCCATGACAAGTAGTGGGATTTCCAAATGGCACCAAATAATTTAACTGTGAAAGTCCAATGACAATTCTTCATAGGCACTAACYCCTACTTTAGCAGTTAAAAAACTTTCTTACACTTTTTTGATATCCAAAATATCATGGCAGAAAGGGAAATCCAAGGAGTCCAGAGTGAAAAAAAAAATATACTGTCCAGTAAAACACAGATATATAGACTAAAACAAATATCTTCCCAATTTTCAAACAAAATTGTTCATGGAAACAAAACAAGATACCRCCTTCCATTTTAAAATGGAAGTTTTCATGGGGAATTTTTGTCAAGACTGGAATGCAGAATCTCTTGTTCCTTCATTACAGCAGCTGTCTATCACACTATACCCTAAATCCACATCTCTGCCTTTTGCACTCCTCGAACACCTTAGTGATCTCTTCTTGTTTAGCAGTCAAAGTTCAGTGAAAGCCACTATTAATTAAGCTTTTTGTTGCCATGGATACTGCTTGCACTTTATTTGAGAATTATGACCAACAGATCGCTCAGTCAAATGAATTCACCTGAAAACTACTCATTTCACTGCCACTATCTCAACAGGAGAACACTGTCAGCATCATTAGGTGTTTTTTCAGAAAGCCAAGAGGCTAGAATTATTGTCATTAATGTTAAAKTCTTTAAACTTTCTCTTCTTATTACACTTAATCAAAAAGTTCAAGACTGTATTTTTATTCRAATTAAACTTGTTTTTATGATTCTCATTATTCTCCTGTCATTTGACTCTCATAGAGGACAATACAATTAAATCATAGAACTGATTCCAAGCTCTCAAGATACCCAACATGTGGTGAAGCAGATGAAAGGAGACATTTGGCATCCACAAGGACAGGAAAAAAGTGATAAAGTATTAAAAAAAAAAGTAAATAAAAAGTCAACATTCCTTTCTTTTAGTTATCATTCTTGCAAGTATGAATAATAAAATGCTGCTAATTTTCTACAGATGCCCATTTTCAACTAACTAGCATCCAAAAATTCTGTTTAAAAATTTTATCAGGAAAAGAGAAATACATTTAACTGGMAAACTGTAGCTTAATTAACAAAAAAGCAAGCAACAGTGTGTTAATGCATTGTTCTTTTAAGATTCTCCTATGCTGCATCTATGAACTGAATGAGCTGTTACACAATCACAGAGGGAGAATAATAGAATTATCACAGAGCTAACTTGGGTGGACAGCCYACCATTTCTGACTATAACAGACAGTATTAGTGAAAGAAGAAATCACAAATGGACTGACATTAAGGGTCAGATACAGTAATCCAAGAGTAGCTTTAGACCTTTCCCAGAAAATACTTAAATGGGCAGAATTCATAACAACTTCAGTTACCAGTCCTAGCAATATTCTGTCTTGTATTAACTTTTCTCTCTTCWCTCTGCAGAAAACCACATTTCACACAGCAACAGAGGAAAATTAGCAGGTCCTTTTTCTTCTGAGAAAAAATTGCTTGCAGTGTGCATTTTAAGTGTATGTATGACTTAGGATATATTTTTAGTCAAAGCTTTTGAAAAGGCTACAGTGTCACAAAGAAATGCTTTCACACAAAAAGCCAGTGGCCAACTAGCAAACTGTGCTGAAGCACAGCTCTATTTCATAGAAGACAGTCCTGCACTTAATGGGCAACTTCTTAGGCAGAGTAAATCCAAACAGTCCTTATCACAATGGTGCCACAACKCTTTACACAGGTTGAAAATCTCATCCTGCTTTTCAAAAACTGCACAGAATAAATTCATATTTTAATACATCCTTTAGTAAAGCAATTTTCAAAGCACYCTTGAAAACCTCCAAAACAAATGTTAAGACATATAAAATAAAACACAAAGCAGGAAAAATAGGTGACCTTTGTGTTCTTCTTCTCCCTTCTTCTAAGTCACAGGTTATATAGGTGTGATTCATGCASAGTAGGCCATTTTTCACTAGTGGTAATGCTGGACACAATCACAATGTAAAAATTCTTTTAACTAAAGTACATTCAAAAGGCATGAAAATTCTTCCAGAAATGTGCTTACCTCTTCCAGAGCAAGGYAAATTAGAATTTCCTTGGCATTTCTTAGCGCTTTCTTCAACTGACATTGGACAAGAACGTGGATGTTCACATTTTTTTCCAGTCCATCCCTCTTTACAGTCACATCTTCCACAATTACACTGTCCATGACCTTTACAATGAATAAAATTCAAGATTACCCTCCATTCTAATGAGGTATAAAAACCTCATAATTGGATGAACTTTTTCAAAGTCGGGGCTTCATTCAGTAATTAGACTGCCAAAAAATACAGCCAATTCCCTATATCTACTTTTGTTTCTGAAAATAGCACTGGTCTACCATTCCATTTGAGACATATTCCCTTTTCCTTTTTTTCCCTCAAGGGATGTTTTGCCACTTAGCACATGATCTAATGCAAAAGGATGTAACATTTTACCTCTGTTTGGAAAAGTGAAATGTCATATGGCAATATTTCATTTAACTTTATGTTCTTTTTCTGCTACAGTTGCAGCATCTACTCTAAGAAATATATCAATATTTATCTACTTGCAATCAATATGATCTACTAGAGACAAGCAATGTCACAACAATTCCAAGCCTCAAACCAGTGCCTTCTACTAAACAGTGATATAAAAATTATAAAATATTGAAATATTGGACATAATTCTCATTTCAATAGGACAGTTGGATATGGTTTTTGGTATCTCACTGCAAGTCTTAGACTATTCTCTGCATGTCTATTTCCTCTATGTGAATGTTTACTTATGCAGGGKTTTTTTAGTTTTTCTCAAGAAAAACTAAGAAAAAARGAAATAATTGCCCTTCTCCCTCTTTATGCTCTTTGTGTCAAGCAGTGAGATTCTGGCAATACAAAACATTCCTTGCACTGACAAAAGCTTTAGAAATAGCAAAATAAAATTCCTTGCCATAAAATCAAGCATTTGTTTTCATGAGCTCGGACAGCAGGTTAGACCTCTCACAATTTTCACATAGCCAACATTCATCAAAGGACCAAAGCATCGCTCCAGTGTCCACTTCTCTATGCATGTTCTTCGTGAAAACCATAGTAGCAGAGATTTTATAACCCTTCTAACCATACTTGCATTTTAAGACTAATTGATAAAACATTAATTTATCAGTCCACAAGGAGAAAATGGGAAGAAGAAAGTATTCTAGGAGGCATCAGAGTACTTCCCAGAATATAAATCTTATTGATTTCACAAAATAACTTTTCTTTACATTAGTTATTTGTTTTCCTTGAAAAGAACAACAGGCTTCCTCTTGTTTAGAGGGTGAGTTTAGATTAGATATTTAGGAAGAAATTCTTTACTTTGGGGGTGGTGAGGCTCTGGAACAAGTTTCCAAGAGAAGCCATGGATGCCCCATCCCTGGAAATATTCAAGGGCAGCCTGGATGGGGATTTGGGCAATTCAGTCTAGTGGAAAGTGTCCCTGCCCATGACAGGGGTTGGAACCAGATGATTTTTWAGTTTCCTTCCTGCCCAAACCATTGTGTGAATCATGATTCTGTTCTTTGCTTTCACATGTCCCTGCTGAGAGGCTGTGAATTGGATTTGTGTTCCCTGATCCAGACAGATACTTATGAGAGGATTAAATACTTTCATACAACAGTTTCTTTGCTAGAGCCACAGCAAAGGAAGTAAYGAAATGTGTGTAAATATGAACTTTCTTATGGAAGCATGTTTTCTTCCTCTGTCAAGTCATTAAAGCTGTTTTCTCTTTAAATTGAAAGAATCACTTTAATGGTGAGAAGATTTCTGAAAGACAATAATTCAGTGGCATACTGAATAGCACCTCAGGTGTTAAAAGAAGGCATCCAATTGCCAAAATGATGTACTGTGAAATAACAGTCACCTCAAGCCACATGAAGCTTCTGGAGGGAGCTGCCCCTTCTGTGATGATAAATACTCACAACAGGGCTATCAATTCCTGTCATTCATATTTTATTTATTAAACATAGTATTTCATTCAGTTACAGTAAAACTCTGTACATGAAAACATGATTTCCTACAATTTTGACATGTTAGGACAATGTGGTTTTCTGTCTCTACCTGTTAGGTAGACAGAACAAGACAAGAAAATTTTGTATCATCTCTGTTTGATAAATGTTTTAAGAGAGATGKATTATTTTCCTAAATCTAATTAAGCACTCTTGGATTCTTCACAAATCAATTTACAAATAATTGTGAGAAAAAATGAGGTTATTTTGCAGACACACCTAATGGGTCCACACTTTGTACAATAAGTAAATTTAAATAATTTTCATATAAGCAATTAAAAACCTGTACCACTACAATTCCGCTATTAAATCTTTGTTTTAGTTGCAGATTCTGCCTGTCTGCCACAATAAACCAAAATTACATCCTGTGCATATTTTCTATTTCTGAAACAGGACTAAATAGCAGGACTAGAAGACATTGTTCATGCTGTTTCATGTGAAATTGGATTTTTTTCCATAATCTATTTTAGGAATGTATACTTGGATGGCCAGGAAAGACTAAATTAGGCTTTTCTAAAACATAATGGAAAGGGAATGGATAAAAATACTTAGTGCTAAAGTTTTTGATGGGTAGACAGAAAAATAAAGCTATACTTGAGTTTTAGTTACATCAAGCAAACCRTGTAAGTCCCTCCTTTTCTATCAAAGTTTTCCTCATTTACAGTTATGTCTTGTGTAGTAAAGAACAATGTACCTGCTCTTAATCTGATGTCAAAWGGCAATATGTTCTCTCAAGGTCCTTTGTAACTGCCTGTACTTTCTTATCCTCTGCTTTCTTACAAGCATCACCATCCTGGGCAGCAGCAGCTACMAAGGCAATAATGCCCAGGAAAGGGGGAGCTCAAGCATCACTGTTTCAGTTTTGCTTTAATCTAATCAGGTTTGAAACTCTTGCACTCACCCTCAAGTACAGAACACATTTACCTTGTTGATTTGTAGCTTTGTATTCCTTAGGTCATGCTGATATTTTGATCAGTCCCTGAGTGCTAAAATCTCTGACAGCAAGTGATACATTTAAAAACTGACAAAACCCCAATCTTCCTGCTGCTCTCATGAGTGYAGCTCTACATCATTCCAGCTCTTTCATTAAATAAACCTATATAATATCTGAAAGTGGCTGAAGAGTAACTAGTAAATTAAGTCCTGAAGGTTTTCAGAAAAAGCTTTCCCCGCCCATTTAATTAGCTAGCAATTCTTCATTATTTATTTAAAAAAAAAATACAATAGTTGAGAAACTTTTCATTTTTGTAACAGTCATAGAAAAGGCTGAAAACTTTATATATCATGTTGGCTTCAGCTTTACGTCTTATTAAAGGCAACTTGTATAATCCTTCTATGGAACATCTCTCACCCTAGGAATAGGAGGGAAATATACCCCATCCTTATTGTCCTTGATCTGACTGCATTCCTCCTATTATTAATTAGGCCAGACCAGATTTCTACAGGTTGCATTGGAGCTGATAATCTCTAATCTGTAAAGTCCCYTTGAAACCACGTTCATTTGCTTTTGCAGAGTTCCTGTGTGTACAAACTGCATGCTGTGCATTGATCAAAGTCCTTCTTTCCTACTATTACCATCTTTGTTAGTAACCACATAAAATTTCATGCAAGGTGTCTCTCAGAACCTCTGTTTTTTCAAGCTGATTCATAGAACAGCCAAATACACTGCAATCCTTGGATGGATGGATGGATGGATGGATGGATGGATGGATGGATGGATGGATGGATGGATGGATGGATGGATGGATTGATATAAACTGTTTTGAATATAATGGTCTCAAATACAAGCAGAAGTAAAAGGAAGATGGATGTGTCTAAGATGTATAGTTTGGGCTACAGCCACAGATGTGCAGCTGGGCCACACATTCATATTTTTTCAAGGATTGAAGCTCTATTTGTTTTCATGTCACTTCATATTCTCAGGGTACTATTTTTCATTGACTCATTTATTTACTTTTTCTTGAATTTCTTCCTCTTGATTATCCTGTCCCTGACATATAAAATGAAATAACAAACACAATTTGATCTAATAAACTTTCAATTTCAAATTTCCCCAAGAAAKGAGATGTCTGTATTTTAAATTTTCAACCATTATCCAATTCATGTTAGGTTCAGTGTAACCTAACATGAATTGGATAATGGTTGAAAATTTAAAATACAGAGAGTATTAGAAAATACAGTATTTAAAATATAGAGAGTATTAGAAGAGAAATGGGCACCTAAAAGAATTTAATATTTACAGGATTTTGTTAAATGGCATAGAAAAAAAAATACAKAATTATGTTCTTTTAATTTTAAAAGTCTGCTCCAAGGCCCCTCCAGTGCCCCAAGGCTGATATATTTTAATACAGAAAAAATGAGAATTGGAGCACTAGGGAAGAGGAAGATCAGACCAGTTGGGATGTTTTTTGATAAAAGTACACAGAATTCTTCTTTATACACAAACCTTACCTGAACAGAAGTCATCAGAATATCTGTCATACACCGCTTTGCAGTTTCTTTCATCACACTCACAAGTATCTCCATGAATATCWCCCCAGTCACCAGTTGGGTCCACATCATGGCATGTACATTCCCCACATACACATGTCCCTAAAAATGAAAGGAAAAAAGAAAAGATATAGAGATGAAAGATTAACTGTGCAATTTAGAGTAATAGGACTTTGACAACAAGATTTTACATTTGTGAATTTTCAGCTCTCACAGAAATGCARTTTCAAAGCTGCAAGTGATAATCATGAGCATGTGCCCATCTTCTATGATTTGAAATCTTCTATCATTATTTAGTACAAATACTTTATACAAACAAATTGGCTTCCTGTTCATGTTTCTTTTTGCTGTTCATCCTTGTTAGAAGTCAACAAAAAAATGTAGTGCACAGAACAGTTGTACATCTTTGACATCAACAGCAATTTGCCCTGTCAGTAATGACAGTAAAAATCAATTCTGTTTAAATGACTTGGGCTTGGGCACAGTGGATAATTAATGGTTGTTAAAGCATAAACATTTAAACTACAAGAGAATCCAAACTAACACAGCAGAAAATGTCCAGGAGGTAATTCTTTACTTAGGAAGAACAGCAGCACAGATCTATATTTAAAGGATATTTCTCCACTTTTACCAACTCAACATTCAGGGCCACACCCTGTTGCTTACAATAAGAAGAAATTTGAATACGACATAAATACAGACTTGCATATTTTACTAATATGCAGAGAATATTCATCCCACTTACTTAGGAAGATATGAACAAAAAGAACCCCAACCAAATAAAAAAAAGATATTTTCCTTATTCAGAAATCCAAATATGTTTCAGGGCAACACACTACATTTTTTGAGATGCCAACAGGCTCGTAGAAGCAGCCTGACCTCACTGATGCGTGCAGTTCATTTCCTGCAGAGTGGCTTCACCTTCTGCTACTCTGCCAACACCTTTGTCATCCTATTTAGGTTACTACAAACGATCTAATGCATTTAAGGACAACAGGACAGGGTGACTAAGCAGTACACACTGCTATGGGCACATTCTCTAATAAAAGGAGTAGGTCTACACAATCCTACATGCATCGCATGAAATAGGAAATATGTCACATCATTRGTAGGAAGAGCTACTTCCCTGTTTAGTGCTAAAAACACTTAGACAGCCCTCAAGAAATTTGCACCTAATTTTTAAAACTTTCACAATTCAGTGACATTACTGAAGAACTAAAAAAAATCCCATCAACCAACCAACAAATAAACAAATAAACAAACAAACAAACAGAAAGAGGAAATGCCTCTGGAGAGTGATTAATCCTCCCAGAAACAAAGTTAACTTCAAAGTTAATTTGGATCAGCTGTCGTGGATGTCAGAATRCAGAACATAATCTCACCAAAGTTTAAAAATCAAAATGTTCACATTTGGACTAAGCTGGTTGACTAAATGGAGCAGGGGAAAAGATATGGAAAATTTATCTGCCTTAGCACTGCAGGAGGGTGAGCAGCAAGGTTAGCCTCAATATTTGATTTTTAAAAGGCTCAAGACCGACAAAATGAACTTCACTTATATCTCAAGATGTATAAACACAGAAAACTGGGTAAGTAGGACTAAATGGAGCAGAAATACTTTATTGGATAGCAACTTGATCTTGTTAGAAGCCTACAAAATTTTTATGAAGACAAAATCACAAATATATGAAAGGCTAAAGACATAGAAGTATCACACAAGTGTACCTTTATATAGGTGGTTGCAGCTACTCAGAGTATCAGCTACTCACATGATTTCTCCAATTGCCATGTAATTTTAAAGAAATAATCACACATTAAAATTTCAAATTTGATTTAAAACTTGCTTTGACAAGAAATTCTTTGACAAGAAATTCTTTGACAAGAAATTACTTTCTCAGTGCAAAGAAAGCATCTGATATGAAGACACTTTGATATCCATTATCTCCAGAACTACACAAAAATTTTATGCTCAAGTCCCAAAACTAAATAAGCCTACATGATCTCTTGTATTTGAGCCAAAGTTTCAATTTCCTCATAATTATGWGAAGAGAGTTTTCTAAATGCTCTCAGGATGATTAGATGTTCACAATACAGCAGGTTTTGTCAGTAGAGATGTTTTTAAGAGAGGTATCTATGTGACTCTTGCTTCTGCACTACTATAATTATTCCGGACTATTGCCAAAAAATACCAGCCTGTTTTTTTTAACTCTTTGTTCAATGAAGCCAAACACAGCAGCTAGTGAAAAACAACCTTATTTTGTGGGTTTTTTTCCTTTTTTTTTTTTTTTTCAAAATTGCTAAATTAGACAAAAGTGTAAGGTGAAATTCAAATTGCAGAACTTTATGAAGATAAAACCTCATGTAGTCAGAAAAACTGTGTGAAGTCTACCTTTCCATTTTTGTGCATTCCACAGCATTGTTACTGAGCACTTCACAGGTGCTTTTTCAGGTTTTAGTGGAAACTAAATGCTTTGTGTTTTTATTTCCCTGATCAGTTGTGCATCCTAAGTCTTCTCTAAGAGTGAACTGGCACACAGTTCTATGACCTTACAGTACCTTTCCATCCAAAGTCAAAAATCTGCTAGTATTTTATTTTGCAAGGTAGGTCTCTACAGATGCACTAAATCTCAAATTATCCTGCTCCATGTTACTACAAAAATGAAAAATGAAAATAAGTTTGATTTGCTTAATCAAAAACTGKATTTGGATTTGTGTAGGTTTATACCTAAATATCCACTTGGAAGTGGATATCCAGAGCTGAAATAGGTGAAAACAACTAGAAACTATCAGCAAACACAGTCTATGTCCTCCTGTGGAGAAAATAAAGAGTAAAATAAAAGCAAACTATATAAATATGTATAGAAGGTCCATGCAAACGACACACCTCTGTTGCTGCAGATTTTGCCATCTGGAGATGTGCATCTTTTCTTGATCTCCCAGGGGGTGATGTCACACTGGAATTCACATTTATCTCCATGCCAACCAGCCTCACAGTAACAGTTTCCACAGTAACACTTTCCATGGCCTTGAGCCAAAACAAATTTTGTACAGTGAGAAAGAGGMAAGTTTTTAAAAGGCATTAACAATTTAACTGCTTTGATCTTTTCTTTTAAAAACTTTTAATGCTAGACTCAGAATAGAAACAATTTATATACCACAAAAATATGACAAAGGATATCTGAATTATACTCTCTCCCCTTATTTTAGAACAGGTTTTCCCTTAATCCCAGATTAAATCTAATCAATAAATACTAATTGAAATAATTATTTTTAACATTTGAAGGCTTAATTTTTGAAACTTCATAGGTAAATTTTGAAGGTTGCGAGAGTTAAAATTGAAGCACAGCTGTAGACATTAAGATAGGGAACAGACTGGGCATGTCTGAGAACACACTGTGTGTTCTTGGCTCCTCAGACACTTGCAGCAAAGGAAGCTCGATTTATTACACACCAACTATGTTGTGTAGAAGGTTTTCCTTCTTATCTATCAAGAAGATTTTAGAACATGGTAAACCAATTCATTAAGGATAATTATTACCAAAATGAATCATTAAGATGTTCATTAAACAGAACATTTATATCCCAAAAAAGATAGTTGCATCATCTGAGGCTGGATGAAGCCTCAGAGCTCCTGAACATTTTGATTTGCTAAGGTACATGAGCATTTTGCTTCATGGCACAAAGCTTTTAAATTAAGTAGCTGTTTGCTAATCTTAAAGCCATAAGTTAATTCTTTAATAGAAGGATCAAGTCAGGATCTTGCTCTTTCTGCCTTTAAGCTTAGCAGAGCTGCTTATCTCTATCACAATCTGGTCAACTTATATTCTTAAATATCAAGACTGAAAATTGTTGAATACAGTTTTTTCCTGGTTTTGCAACTACACGTGGAATTTCCATTAAAATTGTCTGGCTACATGTAAAAGAGCCAATTAATTTAATTAGAAAGTTAACAAAGACAATCCAAAATAATCCTTATTACCGAAAGGTTGATCATGAACAGTGGACAAGAAATAGAAGGTAAAATGCTAAAGGAGTGTAAAAATCTGATCTACTGACAATTTTCACAGATTAAGACACCAGTACTCACAATTTTATACTCCTCAAGTAAATATGAAATAAATTATTACATTTGCCACTACCTCTTGCTCTTGACAGAAGACAAAAACACTCACGTAGACTAAAAAGCCTTAGTTTAAAAAAAAAGAAATTATCAGGATCAGAATTTAATTTGATAAAAGATGTGAAACTTTTTAAAAATGAGAATGCGTCATGATTCAAAAAGTTTCTATAACCTCAAATAAAAATTGTTAGTCAACTTACTGATAAAAAATCAACTGAAGCTGAAAAAGCTTAGCACATCTTTGCAACTTTCCTACCCAAGAACTGATTTCCTTAAAAAAATGCAATTCCCTCGTGTTAATATTAAAATGCATCTGTATCTTAGCATGGCATTGTATGCTTTTACAGGATAAAATCTCAGCTCACACTTGAGGAAATGATGTACCTTTGACCTTCAGTTGATGTGTTCTCATATGCATTTTTGCTGCATAAGTTCTAGTTCAATACATGATTTTGCATTGTAGAGGTTTGCTAGAAAGTAAAGCAACATACAACACTCATAGGTTGTATGCATAAACTTTTCCGCTTATAACAACGCAACCATGCCAAGCAAACCATTAGTTTATAACTTATATTTCACTTTGAAAGACTCCAAAACTTCCATGAGGTATCATGGCTTCTTTACTGATCAATCCYGACTTTAGAGACTTGAAAATACCAACATTTTTTTGTCCCTTTATATCAGCATACTTGAATTCTCCATTCCTATAAAACTAGTTTTGTAAACAAATGCATTTTATCTTCTTTGGATCTTCTTTGGATCATGGCATGAGGGGATGAGACAATGGGAAACAAAAGCTAAGAAAAACATAACAATATAAACCAGCAGCCAAATAGGTGAGAGAAAAAAAAAAAAAACAGACAAAAACAGCAGTAGGAGAATTTACTGGAACTAAATGAATGGCAATTTTTTATCGTATTTGGTACCATGTGTAATGGTTAGAAGCAAATGTAAATGGAATCGCTGGCAGATAAAAATTGTTGCCCTCTGCTCATTTTATTTCAGGCAATTACTGGAATATTATACTCTGCTCCTGAATTTGGACTTCAGAGGACCATTCTGTATACCCTCATTTTAAATCCCTACTTAATCCTAGAATTTAAAAGAAAAGTTATTTTTGCCTTCAAGGCACTTGAATAAACAGAATTAATTTTGCTGTCTGTGTGCAAAGGACAGAGAAAGCTATTTTAAATAAGTACTCTCTCAACACACATACACAGAGGAAGCACTATCACCAGATATGAATAGTTCAGGAGCAGATTGGAACACTCTTGTGGGCATACAGACACAATCTGCACGTGTGCAGCTTRAAAAACATTTGTAGCACCTTCCAGCTCAAGGACAAGCCTCCTTCGCAATATGGGCAACAGCATTTATAACCCCATAAATGGTGTGTGTTGCACAATATTTAACTGCCAGGTTCCTCCCTTATAATGACACAAAAAGTACAGTTTGAATTTTGGTTGTTTTTTTATCTATCAGCAGAGCTCAATTCCATCTTATTTTCTTGCCTTTCCTATCACAGTTGAATTTTTTTTTATTCGTCTTTATCATTTCTATTCTTATCTTCTGAATTGCTTCAGACTTATCATCCTACATTCATTGTTGATATTTTTAATTGTTGTGCCTTGACAAAATTCTTTATAATCTATTTTTTAGTTTTGTTGGTTTGGGTTTTTTTTCCTATGTTGTCTGTTCTGCTTTCTCTCATCTGTGCCATGAAGCATTCACATTTCTCATATAATTTACTGAAGGCAGACACATTAAGCTATGAATTACCTTAGAAAACCATCTTGAACAATCCTCTTTGCAGTCCTTCCAAAAAGAGGAGAATGTCACAGGATTTATTCATTCTTTAGCCTTATGCTTAGCTCAATTTTGTATATCTCAAATTTTCAATTACAACTTGCAACCTAAATTCTTGCAAGTAGAACTACTTTTAAGTCATTCATTCGCTAAAAATTTCTTGTAGAACCACACAATTAATTAGCAGCCTGAATTAATCATAATTTTTTTTTACACATTAAGATACATACCTGTACAAATCTCTCCTGTTTCATCATCAATGCATTCTCTGTCATCACACTCACAAAATTTGCCATACACCAGTCCATTTCCTTCTGGGTTTGCACATTTGCACCTGCCACAGTGACATGTGCCTGTAAACATTTAAGAGACATTACTCAAGGATTGTAGATTACAGAGAGCTGTATTACTCTGTCAGAGATGGTACATATTTTATTTCTGAAAGGGCTGAAATCTAAAGATCATCCACCCAAATAAAGACAGACACAGAAATAATCCAGATCAACAAAAAGCCTAATCTTAGCTGTACAGAGAGAGCATTTGAGTGCCTTGGAAGGTCATAAAGAAATATTTGAATGAACCACACAGYCCAAAAATATCACAAATACATGAAAATTACATCAGAAACAAAAGTATGGCTGTGCCACTCATATAAGAAACCCCTTTTCCCTACCTCTGTCCCTACCTTTACTAAAACTGAAAGGGTAGGAACTTTGTGCAATGTCTCATTAGCGGGACCTTGTGGTCAGCGGTCTCACACAAGTTGTTTCAACAGTCAGTGGCATCACTAAGCAGCAAGCACAGATTCTTAAAAAAAATTAACTTCAAAACATTAATACTCCTCACATAACATCTAAAATATGTATTTTAGAAAACATGGTTACAGGAATCAAAGAAATTCTCCAAAATAGAAGTTTTATGCTGATATTACACAAGATTGCAGAAACCAGTMAATGCTTTGCCCTTATAAGCATAGCACAGCTTTTAATAAATATCAGATTAATTCAAAGAACAGAAGTATTGAGCTCTGCAAYGGACATGGCCATTCTAAAAGAGTAAATTTTAAAAATGTTTGCAAGAAGGAATACAGTAAGGTAATAATAGTCATACAAATGACAATACAACACAAGTAACATAGAGAACTAGAATTATTTCCTACCATTACTTTATAAACAAATACAAATGCAGTTTTTGAGAAAACTGTCATGTTTACAGATAATTCCTGAAGAAAAATAAAAGATAAAAGAGAAATTTGATTCCTATACTGGGTTTCTGAACAGGTCAGAGAGACTGTGCATSATAAAAATGTTCATTCCTTCCATTGCCAAAAGTGAAATTGTTCACATAGAGAACCTCAATTTCAGTAGGATGTCCTAGTTGCTCTGAAAAATGATTAGGCACAGAGTCAGAAAAGTGAAATTTTATGTGGACCTTGATCGATTAATGAAAAATATCACAATAAATTATTACTTGTGCAACAGCAGAGCACTGTTTTCGTAACATCTCATGTCATCCCTATATTTTATTGCCAATTACAAAACAGAGCTCAGACCTTAACAACAGTACTAGTAGGAAATTAAAAAGCAATCCTACCAAGACAAAATACATATGGCTACAGCCCATCAAAGTTACCCCAAACTCCCTAGTCAGTCTCATTGGAACTCCTGTTCCATTTAATATCAGCAAAAGAAAATCATTTATTCTTCTCCTGATGCCATAAACACCTCCCCCTTAGCTATTTCGTGGTTGTTAAGCTACACTCATTTTCCTGTGAAAACTGGGGCCACTTCTAACCAAGGAAAAAAGGGGATCTTTTTTTAAGAACTTTGATTAAAAACACTGAACTATACTTATTTTTGAGAGTCAGTTTCTCATTTAGCTGTCTCTCATGTCTCTCTTGATTGCAAGTTTCATACAATCTGTACTATTCCCATAAATGAAATGTATTATTTACTCAGTATGCTGCATGCTACTAGTCTTATGCTAAAATGGTTTCATATCCTATTGTGAGAACYAACTTCTCTGTAACAAGTCCCACCATTCCTTGGGATTCTCTGCTCATATCAGCAGTGAACTCGTGTGAAATTTACTTGTATGAAAATGTATGGACACCAACAGAAATTAAAGACCAGCAAGAGTGACCAGAAGTTGGGTTCTTGAAAGGTTCTTTCACTCGGTGATCAGTGTAATGGAAAAAACAGAAGGCAATTCCCGGTCTCAAAACTTGATGGTAGAAAATACCCTTAAAATTGTACCATTCTGCAGTGAAGTCTTCCAAAAAACTGTTTGTTTTTCCTCCATTTTTTTTCTTAAATGAAAGGACTTTCTATTTAAGTTAGGATGGCTATAAGATTAAACAGCTAGAGAAGAGAGTGTCAACAAATAAAAAAAAGTGAAGATGGTAATGTCCCTTTAAATTATTCAGTAGATCTACAACTGATTTTGATGACCCAGGTACAACTCAAAAGTGTCTTAAAAAAATGCACAGCTTACAAATGCCCAGGAAAAATTTTTTCAAATGCCATTTCTGCATTCTGTAAACACAAACACTTAATTGAAATTCCACCACTTCCTGTGTTAATGCCATTACTACAACATTTTGATGAGGAAAATAAATGACACAGCTGCAATTTTATCAACTCAACACAGCTATTGATAAACCAGAGTACTAAAGTAGATGTTCTGAATCAGTGTACACTACACGCACAGAAATAGGCCTATAGGAACATTTTAGCATACATACAGTTATTTCTCAGTCTATTGAAACACACTACAAAATTGCTAGCTAGAAATTGCAATGATCCTCAAGATAACACTGGGAGAGCATTAAGGCATGAAAAACAACAAAAGACATCTTACCTGCACCAGAACAGATGATATCTTGAGAATTCTTGCACATTTCATTGCTTTTCTTCCTTGTAAGATTGCAAGTAGTGGGATACTGACAAGCTTCACCATACCAGCCTTCATCACATTTGCACTTCCCACAGTCACACTTTCCATGGCCTAGCAAAGGAAGGAAAGAGTATGTCACGTCCTTTTTTTTTTTTTCATTCAGAAAGTGGTATTTTTTTATCCAGCTTTTAAAATAGATTGTATAAATTACATTTTAAATGAAGATGATTAACAGACTAATTTAATGTAGTTCATATGCAATTAAGAATAGAAGGGCTTCTCCAAGGGCAAGTCCTGCTTGACCAACTCAGTGGCCTTCTATGATGCAGTGACAAGTGAAAGGATTTTATCTGGAGCTCTGTAGAGCCTTTGACAGAGTCCTCCACAGCATCCTTCTCTAAATTGAAGAGGGATGGATTTGATGGGTGAAATGTTAGGTGGATAAGGAATTGGTTGGATGGTCAMATCCAGAGGGAAGTGGGCAACTGCTCAGAGTCCTGAAGGACACCACTGCCAGGTGTCGTCCCACAGGGGTCTGTACTGGGAYCAGTGTTTTTTAATATCTTCATTAATAGGCAAAGGGATCAAATGCATCCTCGGCAAATCTGCAGATGTCACCAAGCTRAGCAGTGCAGGTGACACACCTGAAGAGGGGGATGCCATCCAGAAGGACCTGAACAAGCTCCAGAAATGGGTCCCTTGAAATCTCATGATGTTTAACAAGACSAAGTACAAGATGCTGCACCTGGGCTGGGGCAACCCTGATATCAGCATAGGCTGGGGATGGAGAGATCGAGAGCAGCCTCACCCCCAAGGACTTGGGGGTTCTGGTGGATGAGAGGCTGTGGACAATTTTCACTGTTTATGTTGCACGTTAAATATAATTTTTCACACTGACTTCCAGATGCAAATTGTTATCACTTCATTCTTTAGCATTCCTATACAATTTTAGGTAGCAAATGTGGAAACAATTGCATCTCTTTTCAATTTGAGCATTTCATTTTAAGATAAATGTCTTTTGAATACATATCTGATTTACAGAAGACTCCCTATCACTACATYTTAAAAACAGAATCAAATTGCTGTCTGTTTTAAATGCAACTGTTTCTGTGGTTAGAGTCTGCTGCCTGTAAGAAGGATTTTAAATAACTGTTGTAAATAGACAATTTTAATTAGAAAAGTGAGTCTCTTTTCTAAATACAAAATGAAACTTTGCTTGCTTTCCAGTATGGTCCTAAGACAACATAAAGTTAAATAGCTGCAAAAACATAAACCAAAAACATAAGAGAACCATGTTAGTTTTGGTTTTAAAACATCAGCTGTCACCTTAAAAATTACTGAATAACTTGCTTTTGGTAAAGGACAAGAAAAAGAAAAGGATCAAAAAYATACAATATAAACCTACTCTTGTGATAACTCTGCTTCGCTGACAGACAACAGCAAAAGGCAATTCAGAAAATGGTGGTAAATCTTAGGCTAGCTTACAAAAAAACTGAAGACAAAACATAAGCATTTTCCTTCCTTTGAAGTGTTACTTGACAGTATGACTTTGCATCCTTTATGTTAGGCACTCTTCTGATTTGACAGTTTGATGTCTGCTGGTGAAAAAAAAATATTCCAATAAAAGCAGGACTCATTTTCCTACTCCCATGTCTAAATAACAGAGTAAGGCAGAAGCCACTCCTTATMAGTTATCACCAATGGTCCAGCAGCAGTAACCTCTCTCAGTTACAGATGCACTAATCTAACACATGAGGCATGAAAGAAAAAAATAATTCCACTTTAAATGTACACAGCCTGTTTAAAGAAGATTAATAAAATACTTTCATGAAAGTGGTTATACAGAGCAATTTCTTGGCTTTATTTAACAAGAAAATATTAAAAAAAAAAAGAAAAATATTTATTAAACTTTGAGAAGTGATGAAAGATCACTCACACRCAAATGAAAGAAACTATCAGGAATCTAACTAATATGAATTTGTAAGATTGTACATGTGATTTTCACCTTGACCATCCCTTAAAATATATTAATTGTGCCATTTGTTTGTTTGGGTTTTTTTTAAATTGTAAAGCAATGTGAATATTCTGCCCAAAAATTTGGGTGGGATGGTTGGCCTACACATTGAAATGTAGAAGGCCATAAAACCKCCTGCAATAGCTTGTACCCCTTGCTGCCTCTTCCCTGTCACACGGAGGATGCAGTGGATCTGCAAGTCAATTTGACATAGGAATCCTCTTCTTGCTTATTTCCCACACCCATGTGTTCCAATATTATTGTCTTCCTCATGGCAAAAATAATACTGTGAAGAAGTACAAACCAAGTATGTCACAAATGGTAAGAAAATTAGATGCAGAAGTTTGCTATTGGATTTAGATTTCATTCRGAAAGTTTTTCGTAGGATACCACTGGATATGTACAAATTAGTGCATTATTTAGAGAGCAAGTAATATTATGAAATAGTAAATAAGAGTAACTAGTACTAAGAAAGCTATGAGGAAAGATCACAACTTCCCAGAAAATAAATTCTAGCAATAAAAGGTAGATCCAGGTATTTGACAATGAGACATATAAGAAAAGTGAGGTCTGAGACCTCACTAAAAAGATGGTCAAGGAAGCTATATCACAAATTGATGACACATTTATTCAATTTCTTGAAAAATAGCTGTAACACAAATAAATACTAAACATAAGTTCACTTTAAAAAAACCAAAACAACATCAACAAAAACCCAGAAAATAAGGAAATAAGGAAGAGTCAAGAAAATGTGGTGAAGAACTTGCAGCTTCAAACACGGTGAGAAACTTTTCTTAAAAAAAGGCTCCATTTCTAGCTAGATGAGCAGTCACTTCAGAGAGTATATCTGGCCTATGCAGAAAGCTTGTAGGATGGAACATAAATCTAACATGCTAGGAAAACTGTCAGATGTCAGAAAATATATGAAGAAAGTGAGAACAGAAAATGTTAGGCAGGGTCAGATCTTGCAAAATGGCAAGTACTAAAATGTACTGTCATCATCCAAATAAAAAGAAAACAGGAAAAAAAGCATGGCTTCACCAAGCAGCAAAAACCATTTAAGATTAAAGACAATTTACAGGCAGTCCAAAAAAAATGAATATGGGAATGTTGACTATATTAGTAGTAAATGCAGTGTGGCTAATGACACACTCTGTGGAAATGAAAATTACTCATCTAAGATGAGAAGAAAACAAAGACATAAAACAGTTTTTAAGGAAGTGTCTAGACCAAGAGTGCAAGACCCCGTAATCTCCATTCGMAATACTTGTACATGMAAGGGCAGTCCAACAACAAAGACTTTTAATGAATCTATCAGGCTGGCAGTCAAATGTCTGAAAAAAACCCCTAGCTTTTATTTCATATAAGGAAAAGGAGTGTATATGGTCCAGACAACATAAAAACAAGTGCCTGTGGCCTCATGAGCTGTACTAGGATTTGAAATAAACTGTGAAGCATTAYTGCAAAGCTAGAGACACTGAAGTAATGAAAATGGAATATTATGAATAACAGCTTTACCCCAAAATAGATTATCATCATGCAAAAATACCTAGTATATCTTTTTATGAGATAAAGAATAGTGTAAGAGAAGAAACATGGAAAATCCATGTGATAAGATTGTATATGTTGGATACAATGCCACTCAAGAAAAGAAGAATTATTSTGGACAAAATGCTCTAGAAATGCAGAAGAATCACAACACAGTTTAAAGGAAGGAAACAACATTAGGACAAAACAGGATATTACTGGAATATAAGATGGCTGGCTATGTTTCAAATGATGTCTTTGGAACTGTGTGYGTTTTACTGATACTAATACAAAAATTCAGATAATATCAACAATAYTCAGCAATAACAAACCTGCAAAACCTCAGTAGAAAGGTGAAGATGAAAGATCATACAAAAATAACTGAACTGAAAATCTGAAGGACTGAAGTAGTAAAAAGTGGATTGAAACAGGAAATGCAAGCACAGGATCACACACTAGGGACAAGCAAATGATGTCACAGGCTGATACCTCCCCAGCTGGAAACCACAAGAAAAATGTGAYTGCATATTGCCATCAGCTCTGGAAAGATGGTGTGACTAAATCTTCAGCTGACAAGGGTCTGAGATGTACCCATTGAAGAGATATCATCAGGGATAGGAAGCAGTAACAAATCTGCATTTGAAATTATACACACAATGTATGTGATATGGCTCTGAGCCCAGTTTAACTTTGAAAACTGTCATTAGGTCTCTAATCCTTGGAAAACCRAGTCAAGTTTCCCAGGGAAAACATTTGCAGAATTTTAGGCATGTGCAAAGTTACRATTGGCTGGGAATTAAAACATCTAAGCAGAAAGATATTAATTTAAACCACAAGCATATGGCTCTGATCACTCACTTCTGCACTTAGAAACTTAACCTCATCCTAAGTACCTTCTAAAAATATTTTTCTACTATATATTTGCATGCCTACAGGTCCAAGAGCAAAGGTGAAAACGTAAAAACATCTGACAAAAAGCTCTGAACCCACATCTGTATTGCCCGTATTCAGGGCATCGATTTGGAAGCCGCTTTTGCTGAGCTCTGTCTGTGATCCATCACGAGAGACAGACCTTCTGCAGAGTGACTCAGGTCCTGTGTGGGCTGAACAGTCTGCAGAGGTTGYCTGTCTTTCTTCACTAAACTGCTGGGAAGCTGGGACTTTGGTGCATCACTTGTATGCATGTTTGCATGCAAATAGAGATTCATTCATTCAATCTTTTGCTTCACTTATCTATACAATAATCTACATCAGGTTTTAAATATTCTCACATGCTTTGAATTAAAAAAGGAGCAGGATGTCAGCTTAGTCATAGGTTGAACTGCATCAGTTTATAAAAACAATTCTATTAAATAATTATTGGACAAACMGGAAACTCAGTTTGAACATTGCTTTCATTTCCATGTGTCCACAGAAATTGCAGCATTTAGCAGTGCTATTGTTATTTCTGTGCATCTTACTGGAAAARATCCTCTCCACTTTTGTACCAGATTTAGTTATTTTTTTTTATTACATACAAATGTTCACTGTGACAGAAATCTGCTACATCCTTGTAGTTAAACTTTCCAAA